TGGGCTACAACTCTTCCCTTGACAACCACATTGCTCCAGATAAAGAAAGGTATTTTTAAATAACAGAATATTTATCATTATTCAATATAAAATACAAAGCCCGTACAGAAATAATGCATACACAAAATGAATAAAGACAGAATGAAGGTGACATGTCAAGAATCATGAATGGTTGCACATTCCATGCACCTTCTGTGCTCAATCACAACTGGCCTTGTAAACTGTTGGTGACTTTTTTCACCTATATATACACTGTACACAAACGTAACATATTGGAATCACTTTTTCAGAATTATGGCACCGCGATAAATGGGGTTTTAAGTCCGTGCCTGATCAAGTACCGGTTTCCAGAGGTGTGTGGGCACTCTGTTGTGGCTATCACTGACCGGTGGCAGAGAGCAAGTTACGCAGCGTGGCAAGTTCTCTTGACAGCTGCTCCACGCGTTTTTGTAAACGATCATTCTCTGCGGCCAGTTCCAGCACTCTGTGTTGCGTCTCCATATTGCGCATTTTGGCTTTATCCCTGCTCTTTCTAACCGCAAGGTTGTTCCTCTCCCGCCTCTGCTTATATTCCTCACAGTCCTTTTCCAGTCGCTTCTTCCCCTTGCCACCAGACGACATTTTCCCGCCCTGCGAAGGCAACCTGTCTTTACCTGACGGGGCAGGTGTGCCGGGTGGACTGGAGGAAGACGAGGACGCAGTGGAAATGTTACCAAGGCTGCCACTTGGAGTCGACTCGTAATGAAGATACCTCATGTCGTAGCCAGTTGAACCGTTGTCCATTCTTGGGTCCTCTTGAGACTCGTCTCTTTCACCGGCTTTAAAGTGGGTCCCAAGAAACTCCGGGCTGAACACGGTGTCCACACGAGTTTCCTGCAGTTCAGGATAGCCCAGGACGTATGGCTCCCTATTGTCGTGCGCACTTGTCTCCCGCTCGTTGAGAGATATGTAGTTTCTGTAGTTTTGTTGTAATGATGAGAGTCTCTTTATCCTGCTTTCCTCTGCAAGGAAATCTGCGAATATGTCTACCCCTCTCTGCTGAGTTTCGTTATGTGTTGCCAGTTGTTGACAGTGCGCAGCAGCTGGATCCAAGTAGACACTGAAATCTATCGCTTTCTCGTTCTCGGCTATGCCAAGCTCCGTCATCGAGCCGTCAATGGGCTGCTTGCAAGTGCTGTTGTCGCTAATGGGACTGATAATGTAGTTTGTACTCTGGAAAGCAAAGCAATCCCTGTCGTAGAAACCGGCCACTTCCATGGATCTTAACACCCACCGGATTGCGGTAACATCGAATCCAGGGGCAGACGCCCGGGGAATTGGCTACGCGAGTAGGCCTAATGCTGTCTGAAAACACTAAAGTATATTGGCACACGACTGAATGTCACTGTGATAATATTCAGTTGTTGAACAAAACAAGAAACTTGAAGAATTGGCTATTACTCAGCAGCAAGTCACCGGAGTGATGAGTAAAGTTGATGTCTATTGCAGCAGGGAGAGTCTAGGAAGGGCTTATATAGACTGTGAAAGAATGGGCGGAGCTTGTGTGATATGTTCTCCTCCTCTAACTAACCACTTCCCCCTTGATTTCATGCTCTGAATTGTAATTTTAAGAGATGGACCTTAGAAAGGCAACATTTCACAACTAACCTATACTAGAAGCCCACTGGTTAAATCAACGTTGTTTCCACGTAATTTAATTGAACCAACGTGGAATACATCTTGAATTGATGTCTGTGCCCAGTGGGAGCCTACAGACCTGGGTTCAAATACATGTGTATTTGAGTCTATTTAACAAATACCTGTGTATTTGAAGGTTTGTATTTGAAATACTTATGTGCTGTGTATTTTTGTATTTGTCAAATAATGTGGCCGAATCAACTAGTTCTATTTTCAAATAATTTCCTATAAATAGCCCACTATTTGAAACTATTTTCAAATACTTGTTTCCAAATACATTATCTTAAATACCCTTAGGACCAAACAGACCCAGGTTTAAATGCATGGAGTATTTAAATATGTGTATTTGAAAATACACTTGTCTGTGTATTTGAGTATTTTCAAATACATGTCAATACTTTCCAAGTGTATTTCCGAATACATTCCAATATTCAACTACTTGTATTTTCAAAGAAAAAATATCAAAATACTTACATAGAAATGTATTTGAAAGTAATTGAAATACCCTACATTTACATTTTAGTCCTTTAGCAGACACTCTTATCCTTACAATTAGTACATTCATCTTAAGATACACTATATATACAAAAGTATGTGGACACCCCTTCAAATTAGTGGATTTGGCTATTTCAGCCACACCTGTTGCTGACAAGTGTATAAAATCCAGCACACCACCATGCAATCTCCATAGACAAACATTAGCAATAGAATGACCTTAGTGAAGAGGTCAGTGACTTTCAACGTGGCACCGTCATAGGATGCCACCTTTCCAACAAGTCAGTTCATCAAATTCCTGCCATGCTAGAGCTGCCCCGGTCAACTGTAAGTGCTGCTATTGTGAAGTGGAAACGTCTAGGAGCAACAACGGCTCAGCCGAGAAGTGGTAGGCCACACAAGCTCACAGAACGGGACCACTGAGTGCTGAAGCACATAGCTCTTAAAAATCGTCTGTCCTTGGTTGCAACACTCACTACCGAGTTCCAAACTGCCTATGGAAGCAACGTCAGCACAATAACTGTTCATCGGGAGCTTCATGAAATGGGGTTCCATGGCCGAGTGGGTTTTGTCTGTTATTTTGACTGGACTTCATACCAGGCGGTGTCATGCATTTTCAGTGGCTGAAGATGTTGATGAATTGTATGTGTACGTATGTATGTGTAGGTCCCAGCTCCTGTCTATATCTGCTCAAAAACAGATCAAAAGTAATTTTGTGGGCCAAATGGTGACATAAAAATCCAAAGTAATATCTTATTACTTATTACAATGCCAAGCGTCGGCTGGAGTGGTGTAAAGCTCACTGCCATTGGATTCTGGAGCAGTGGAAATGGGAATAATGGAGGAATAATTGTCTGGGGCTGTTTTTCATGGTTCGGGCTATGCCCCTTAGTTCCAGTGAAGGGACATCTTAACGCTACAGCATACAATTACATTCTAGACGATTCTGTGCATCCAACTTTGTGGCAACAGTTTGGGGAAGGCCCTTTCCTGTTTCAGCATGACAATGCCCCCGTGCACAAAGCGAGGTCCATTCAGAAATGGTTTGTCGAGATCGGTGTGGAACAACTTGACTGGCCTGCACAGAGCCCTGACCTCAACCCCATCGAACACCTTTGGGATGAATTGGAACGCCAACTGCGAGCCATGCCTAATTGCCCAACATCAGTGCCCGTCCTCACTAATGCTCTTGTGGCTGAATGGAAGCAAGTCCCCACAGCAATGTTCCAACTTCTAGTGGAAAGCCTTCTCAGAAGAGTGGAGGCTGTTATAGCAGCAAGGGGGGGACCAACTCCATATTAATGCCCATGATTTTGGAATTAGATGTTCGACAAGCAGGTGTCCACATACTTTTGGTCATGTAGTGTAGCTGGGTTTGATAACCACATATCACAGTTGTAGCAGTATTTGCTAAAACACTATTTCCCTAAATAGTTTTTGAACCAAGGTCTGCTGTAGTAATAGCCTAACTATAATATCCTACTAATAAATTATATTATATTCTGTTGACTGTAATCGCATTGAGCGCATTCTATTATATTCTAAAGACACTCACAGATTAAGGTTTTGCCACTGTAAATTTGAAACAATTTGTAGAGATGCTTGAAATATCAAATCACACATTTTAGGGCAGAGTGTAAATGCATTACCTAGCATATTGTAATCCACAGTCAACGCTTTCCATTGAGAAGACTGGGAAAAGGAGCAATAATTTGTGACTTGTGGGTCAATGATTTTGGAAAATGATATTTATTCTACACTGCCATCTAGCGATATTGTAAGATACAATTCACTCTCGACTGTAAACTTCAGTAGAGAGCTGACTAGGCCTACTGCTAGGCAATAGAAAGCTTATGTTGCTTGTGACTTTTATTACTTTCTTTGGAGCGATCACCCCAATAGTTTCCCCAAAACATTTATTTTGGGATAATTGTTTGATTTATGATCTCAAATAGGCCTAACACAGTTCAGTGAGAATTAAATTAAATTACGAAATTGTAAAACGTGCCCTAAACATAATAATTTCAACATCTTTAAATTAAAGGCCTATCTCTCTTCTAATTTAGCATCATGTTTGCCCACCATGTAGAACAAAAGCTGGCTGACGTGTAAAGGGGCAATCTGCAGTTGTTACATCTACTTTTGGATTTATAAATGAATGATATTTACCCATTGATTCTTGAAGAATATAACTTATAAATGCCTGATGAGTTTAGTTCAATTGTCGTACCCCATCAGAACCCAAAATAAGCTCCAATGTCTATAAACAAAGTAAATGTAAACAAATACTATTTAGCCTCAAAACATGGTTAAAACTATAATTGTTATATCATGGATGGTCAGTCCTAGCATCCATAGCTCTGTCTATGAATTTGAGAATGATTACATTTCTCCAGCCCCATACCTAATCTTTTTACAGAAACAAGGGCGGGGATTTTTCGTTGTTATTGTTTCAACTGCAGATTGCCGCTTTAACAGCCAAACCCAAATGTTCTGATTGGCCACTCACGGGTGGGGTCAGGCAATGCATTCGTTCTCCTCGCTTCCTAATTGGTTATTCGCCTGATCATGGAACTATGTACGACTCCGCAAGTGGCTGCTTTAGATAGCAAGCTCAATGTGATAGGGTTAGAAAGGCAATGTAGTTTTACGGCAGAGTGAAAGGCCCGCATGATTTTCACCCCGGGATAGCCCGATTCTTACCAGAGCGGGCAGAGATGTAGCTCAAATTCATGAGCACCGCAGCGTACACCTTCGCCAGACGCACGCGGCTTGTAAAACGAGCGCACCCTATCTTGTTCTGTAGTTCTTCCTACATCTGTTGGTTTCCTGACTGTGGAAAGGGGTTGAACCAGGAGTGGAACATGGCGAGAATGGTCAACGAAAACGGGTGTGGACAAGAGTTACAGAGCACAGAGCCAAATGGACCGGGTCGCGGTACAGCGCGGTGGGGTCCCCAACACGCAGGTGCTCTGGAACTTGCGAATTTATATTCGCCAGGTGAGGCAACAGCTATCTCTTTTGTCAACGCCACTCAGAAATGTCGTAGCCTACTAACGTTACATTTATACAACGCTTACGCTTATATATCGATCAGCCAATTAAGCTTCAGGATTTTACTAATTAGGATCACTGGAAAGAAGTTAGGCTTTTTAATATGAGGCTTTTCTGTTACATTTCCGGAAAACAGAAATGACATTACAACTGTAACTATGCTCCACACGCAGACTGGGAGGGGCTTACTTGACCTTTAAAAACAATTTGCCCTAATTGCTAAGTGTATGGTGTCAGGAACGGACCAAAGCTCAGTCATAATAAATGAGTGGTGCACACTTCAGAGTCTAACTACACAAATTATTTAAAAAATATTCATGAAAGCTAGCCTAATGTATGAGGACAGATTGCTGTACAAATTGAGCATTTACTTCTTTGAGTCAGTTGAACTCTAAACTCAACCTATTTGCATGTTACTTTTTGTACTTGATGCTTTTGAAAGGTTTTTTCTTTTCTGCTCGACTCCCATTGAAAGACACTGAATGCATAGGTGCTGCTGTGTCCTGGCTCTAACATTCCACATATGAATTCCACATGTAGGCCATCATTGTAAATAAGAATTTGTTCTTAACTGACTTGCCTAGTTAAATAAAGGTTAAATAAAAAATAAAGACCAGAATGCTCCTGTGTCAGCCCTAATAACACTACAGCTGGTCACACTGGTCAGGCTCCTCATTAGCTCCCGTCCAGAGCATTTATGTGCGGCTGTGCCTCCATTGAGGCTGAGATGCACGTAAACGCCCTGGAACAGAGCTAGCTCTTTACTGACACTGTGACACAGCATTGCCCTGGTGTAAGGAGACTAACTTACTTTACAGGGTATTGCCTGGGGTGTTGAGCCATAAAGCTGCTTGGCCTTAAACTGTCTTTGAGCTGTAAGAATCTGATCAGTATTTCTGGCCCAGCTGCTTTTCATTGAAATGAGTAGCTACAACCACAAAGCATGTAGCGTAAGAAAACCATCTAAGGTTATCAGTTAAGTGAATGCACTTCCAGTAACTCGCAGCTACAGGGTACAAAAAGTTAAGTCATGAAAGAAAGATACCGTTGGGTCAAAACGTTGCACAATAAAACTGCAGGAGCATTCATTGAGAAAGGTTATATCATTGGGCATAATATTGTCTAACTACGTTGAAGATGCACCCCTATCCCTTTTCTATAGTTATACAATTATTTTTATAATGGGATGTTAATTTTGTCTTTGTTTGTCTCCACAGGAAAAAGATGTCAGGAATGGATAAGTGTTGTCCTCTGCTTCTCTCTCATGGCCTTCAACTTTTGTCACCTCCTTGTTAACTTCCACCTGGGTCATATGTGGTATATCCTTTTGGGCATTGGTAAGCACTGCTGTTGCACCGGTCATTAGAATAAGCCTACATCCCATGTTATGTTTCTCATTGATTGACACGATTGTTTGCTTACATGTCCCCTCTATCTCTCCCCGCTCTCTCTCTCAGTGGCAGGAATATTGACTGCAGACTTTGCCTCTGGTCTAGTCCATTGGGGGGCTGACACCTGGGGATCTGTGGAGCTACCCATCTTTGGAAAGGTAGGAGATGCATTTGCTAATGTGACTGGATTTGAAAAGGTACTGTCCCCAAAATGTACGTTGTCTAATTATCTAATTGTTGTCTTGACTCCTGTTATTTTGAACTCACCTTCTGATATCTTGCCCCAGGCCTTTATCCGACCGTTCAGGGAGCATCACATCGACCCTACAGCCATCACCCGCCATGACTTCATTGAGACGAATGGTGACAACTGCATGCTGACCCTGATCCCATTAGCACACATGTCTTTCAACTTCCTTACCCTCTCGCCTGGTGAGCTACTGCCAAACAAGGCACAATTATCATTCAACTGAGCCAATGCTCTGGCATCTGAAAACATCATTTTCTAGAGCCCTGAAATGAAATCTAAGTTCAACCAAGATCGTCTTCTCTGTTTATCTGTCTCTCCACCCACATGTAGCGGAGCACTATCACAACTACCCCTGGCACTGCTATGTGATGGCACTGGCCATTTTCGTCACCCTAACCAACCAGATCCATAAGTGGTCGCACACATACTTCGGGCTGCCAGGCTGGGTGGTCTTTCTACAGAACTGCCACATCATCCTGCCCCGCAAGCACCATCGCATCCATCACGTGTCCCCACACGAGACATACTTCTGCATCACCACAGGTCAGTGCTTGTGGGTATGGGCTTTGTGTGTATCACAATATGTCTGTCAGGATATAAGTAAGAGGAAAATATCATTGAAACTATCGGCAGCCAACCATCTTTTCCCCTTTGGCTGCGTTTACACAGCCCGATTCTGATATTTTTCCCCACTAATTGGGTCTTTTGACAAATCACATCAGATCTTTTCACATCAGATATTTTTCCGAGCTGATCTGATTGTAAAAAATATCAGAATTGGGCTGCCTGTCTATGCAACTGGGAAATTAAATGGCACACCCAGAATGCCTTACAATCTGGAGGACAGCCTTACACATCGCCCCAATCGTCCAAATGTGTTATCTGTGCCCTTGGCGATATCATGGATAGTAATAGTTTGAGGACATTCAAAGATCTGAAAGAAGCATTTATATTACCAGGTAACTCAAATCAAGTTTGAGTTGATTGATACTTGCTCACAGATTAAACTGAAGAAATCATCATAAAATTGGGGGGAATGTAAGGGGAGACTCGGGATGGGGGGGGGGGGGGGGGGGGGGGGCTAGATGAACATGCTGGAGCAAAAATGGTTTCCGGGGGGAGGGTGGATGCGGGCGGGTGGATGTGGGTTGGTGAGGGGGGGGGTTTTGTGTTTCTTTTCCTTGGATACAAAATATTACAAAACTATTGATACTGTTTGTTATCTTTGTATGCATTCTTCTGTTTTTTGTGTGATTTTTTTTTAGTGGCAGCCCACAGGTACAAGAAAGTATATGTGTGAAAATATCAAATAAGATAACTGAATATATCTGAATTTATATGCCTTTCAATGTTATACCTGTATCTGTAACCCCTTCTGAAAAAATAACAAACTAAATAGTTGGTCACAAAAGAATTGGGCTGCCTGTCTAAACGCAGCCATAATGGTCTTATCTCCCCAGGCTGGCTGAACTATCCCCTGGAGAAGCTGGGGTTCTGGTCTAAGCTTGAGGATCTGATCCAGAGTGTGACTGGGGAGAAGCCCAGGTCTGATGATCTGAAATGGGCCCACAAAACCAAGTAACCATGCAGACTGGCTGCACCGCTACCTCCGAAGGAGTAATCAGTCTCTTTCTCGCCTAACTCCAGCTGTAACCGATAGGAGACACAAACATAAGGATCTGGTTTCAGAGATGCCATATAGCTTTAAACCTTGCACATTTTGTCTGGTTCTAACCGTGAAGCGTTTTGTCAAGGGCCCAGGGGTGTTTTTTAACCCACTGTGGAAATCTGAGAGGGAAGTGCTTTTTAAAATAACATTTGAAAGCACTAATACATTGCAATACTTTCTCAACTCCTCATCTAGCTCTTTATTTCTGATCGTGTATGTTTAACTTGACTCAACCTTTCTTGAGGTATAACACTGAAGCCATTGTCCCCAAAAGGGGTAGTCAAATATTTTTTCATCGTCATCCACTACAAAGACTGATAATGCTAAAATAAATACCTTTCACAGAAAACTCAAAATATCCCAACCAGAAATACTTGAAGGAAACAGTTTGCTTTTCTGCAGCACTTACAGTGTATATATATATGCACACACACACACACAGTTGAAGTCGGAAGTTTACATACACCTTAGCCAAATACATTTAAACTCAGTTTCACAATTCCTGACATTTAATCCTAGTAAAAATTCCCTGTCTTAGGTCAGTTAGGATCACCACTTTATTTTAAGAATGTGAAATATCAGAATAATAGTAGAGAGTGATTTATTTCAGCTTTTATTTCTTTCATCACATTCCCAGTGGGTCAGAAGTTTACATACACTCAGTATTTGGTAGCATTGCCTTTAAATTGTTTAACTTGGGTCAAATGTTTCGGGTAGCCTTCCACAAGCTTCCCACAATAAGTTTGGTAAATTTTGGCCCATTCCTCCTGACAGAGCTGGTGTAACTGAGTCAGGTTTGTAGGCCTCCTTGCTCGCACACGCTTTAACAGTTCTGCCCACAAATGTTCTATAGGATTGAGGTCAGGGCTTTGTGATGGTCACTCCAATACTTAGACTTTGTTGTCCTTAAGCCATTTTGCCACAACTTTGGAAGTATGCTAGGGGTCATTGTCCATTTGGACGACCCATTTGCAACCAATCTTTAACTTCCTGACTGATGTCTTGAGATGTTGCTTCAATATATCCACATAATTTTCCTTCCTCATGATGCCATCTATTTTGTGAAGTGCACCAGTCCCTCCTGCAGCAAAGCACCCCCACAGCATGATGCTGCCACCCCTGTGCTTCATGTTTGGGATGGTGTTTTTTTTTTTTTTTTTTTTTTTTTTTTTTTTTGTCATTTAGCAGACGCTCTTATCCAGAGCGACTTACAGGAGCAATTAGGGTTAAGTGCCTTGCTCAAGGGCACATCGACAGATTTTTCACCTAGTCGGCTCGGGGATTAGAACCAGCAACCTTTCGGTTACTGGCACAACGCTCTTACCCACTAAGCTACCTGCCGGCTTGCAAGCAACCCCCTTTTTCCTCCAAACATAACGATGGTCATTATGGCCAAACAGTTCTATTTTTGTTTCATCAGACCAAAGGACATTTCTCCAAAAAGTATGTTCTTTGTCCCCATGTGCAGTTGCAAACCGTAGTCTGGCTTTTTTATGGCGGTTTTGGAGCAGTGGCTTCTTCCTTGCTGAGTGGCCTTTCAGGTTATGTCGATATAGGACTAATTTTACTGTAGATACTTTTGTACCTGTTTCCTCCAGCATCTTCACAAGTTGCTTTGCTGTTGTTCTGGGATTGATTTGCACTTTTTGCACCAAAGTATGTTCATCTCTAGGAGACAGAACGCGTCTCCTTCCTGAGCGGTATGACAGCTGCGTGGTCCCATGGTGTTTATACTTGCGTACTATTGTTTGTACAGATGAACGTGGTACCTTCAGGCGTTTGGAAATTGCTCCCAAGGATGAACCAGAGTTGTGGAGGTCTACCATTTTTTTCTGAGGTCTTGGCTGATTTCTTTTGATTTTCCCATGATGTCAAGCAAAGAGGCACTGAGTTTGAAGGTAGGCCTTGAAAGACATCCACAGGTACACCTCCAATTGACTCAAATTATGTCAATTAGCCTATCAGAAGCTTCTAAAGCCATGACATAATTGTCTGGAATTTTCCAAGCTGTTTAAAGGCAGAGTCAACTTAGTGTATGTAAACTTCTGACCCACTGGAATTGTGATACAGTGAATTATAAGTGAAATAATCTGTCTGTAAACAATTTTTGGAAAAATGACTTGTGTCATGCACAAAGTAGATGTTCTAACTGACTTGCCAAAACTATAGTTTGTTAACAAGAAATTTGTGGAGTGATTTTAAAACGAGTTTGAATGACTCCAACCTAAGTGTATGTAAACTTCCGACTTCAACTGTGTGTGTGTATATGTGTGTATATATATATATATATATGTATGTGTATATATATATATGTATATATGTGTATGTATATATATATATATATATATATATATATGTATTATATATGTATTATATATGTATATATATGTATATATATATATTATATATATATATATGTGTTTGTGTCATCTCTCACTGGGCATGGACCTAGTATTTTGTGTCCTTCACCTGTCAAGGACTGCCTATTACCTTCATTTGCCATTCATAGAGTTGATGCCGGTTAACACTCATTCGCCTACCTAAGATATTTTCTTAATTTTTCTTGACCTTATAGTGCAGTGCTGGCTTATATTTTGTCTACATCCAATCGAATTAACTGCACGTAACTGCTATGTTCATCCAGACTTCTCAACCAGCCTTAACAATCACAGCTGCAGTAATCTCTTGCCTTTCATTTCACTTCTCTATTGCAGAACCTATTTTGTAATGCTTTTGTCGTTGTTCTTCTCAACCAGTGGTTTTCTGTCTTAAATTTGCTAGTATCCATACAGTCATTCAAGTAATTTGCCAATCTTTTTTACACACCGCACGCCTTTTTTTAATCCCAGAAGCATGGAAATGGTTAAACACATTACCCTTCAGGGATATTGCCAATATATCTGCCGTCTAACAATGCCAAGCAGGCTGCAGTGATGATGGACTAATACTTTGAGTGCAGTAGAAGAGAGTAATCAAAAGAGATGAATCATCATAATTAGCAATCTACCTGAAAAATTAAAGTGCTTTGTGTGTATGCTCTAGTAACCATGTTTGGAAATGAACTGTACAGCAGATACCTATGCAGTCTGACTGATAGTGAACCTGAACCTTATGTCTTAACTACCTTAACCTGAAAAATTGCCTGATTGGCTAGAAATGATATTTCTGTTCTTAAATTCCCTTAACATAGACATTCTTTCATTATAAAAGACACGCTTACCTCTCTCTGCATGTGACATTTATTGTTATTGTCACAGACCGAACCGTTGATGTACAAAATGAATGACAGAGGTAATCGTGTGTGGGAGTTCTCTTTTTCATAATGAATTAAACTCTGGGGCTTTTATTCCCAGCACCAAAAACAAGTGACAGTGTGGTGGTGTGCATGTTATTCACCCATATATAAATGATTTCCCTAAATATTTGCAAATAGTTCAGCTTGGGAAGAATAAAGGCTGTAGACAAGAACACTGCTCTCAAATGTCCCTATTTAAAGGTGCGTGTCACACTGACTTACATACTGTAAGACTGCATGCATGCATACAGCAGGTTGGCTTATGCAGGCAATATGATGGATCACCAGCTTTCCTTACTGTTTTTATGTTACTAATTAATTGCTTGATAGTAGAATGAAATCAACCTGCTGTAAGTGACCACTTGAGTTTTGGGGCAGTTTTGCTATTGTTCAATAATGTAGTTTTTCAGTTGGGCCTTGATTTGAACAACCCAAATTGTCACTATTACTTTTACGTGCTATAATAGGGTCCCCCAGATTGGGTAGCCTTACTGTAATGTGGGATTGGCAATGCTCATAGTTATGAAGTTAAAAAATGTGTGTCAAATTAAACTGGCTCAGATATTTATATGAATTGTTTTATTCAGAAGTCAAAATGACTTTACTGAAAATTAACAAAGGTCCTTATTCTTCTGACTCAGTTCATCCATTTCTCAATTGTAGGTCAGCAGAAAAATCACTGCAGAGTTTAATAATGTTTATTAATATAAGTAGGATATTGTAAAAGCTGGGAAAGTGATGACATTTTGTTTCACTACTGAGGAGAATGGGGAGTGAATCATTTCAGTCAAACCAAACCAGGTTGATGTATGAATATCTTGTTGGCAGGTACACTGTTTTTCATCCTTCAAATTAGTATATTGTTGGCCAGAAACATTCATAGATCAAGCCTGAAATAACATTCTCCTCAAATGTGTTGTTTTGGTGTGTTTAATGGCTATGGTCTTATGGGTCCTATTAAAAATGAATGGCTGCCATTATCCCTGTGGAACCAGACGTAGTGACACAAATACTAAGCATCAATTCCATTGCTTATTGCTGTTCTGCTTTATGTCTAGGCTTGGTAATATAAATGCAGGTGTGAGTTTACATATTAAATACAATGTAAGTTATACTTTTTTTTACTAAGAGGATACTAATAAGTATTGTATAGAAGTAGGGAGAGGATAATATTAAGAGGATAGTAAGTAAGCGGATCAATCAATAATTATGACTATGGCTTCACTAGTTTATTAAATAATTCAGTTGAGGGGAAGAAGTTTGAATGGATAAACTGAAATAGCTTTTCATATTGGTGAAATTGTAACTTCTTAACAGTTCATTCTTTCAGATCATGTTGCTATTGACCAATGCCAAACTTAACTTGTTTGACAGATTTAAAAAAAGTAGTCAATTTATAATGTGGTATATGCAAAATGTAATCTGTCATACTTTTGCCATTGCAGATTGTAATATGATGCATTAAGCCATGTGTTTAGTACAAACTATTGCCTAGATGTAAATGTGTGATTTAGTTATTTTAATGACCTAATTGCTTTAATACAATACTTTTTCAATTAATGGATTTAGTTAAAGCTCTTAAGTGTAAAATTGGGTTTGTCTAAATGATACAATAATAGAGATGTTGCCTAATGCACTTATTTTTCAAAAGGAAGATCAATCATGTTATATAAATGGTTGTGTTGATTGTTGGGGTGTGTTTCTGACATGCTTTGTCTGAATGAGATTTGTAGTGCTCCTTGGACCTCTAAAAGGATGGCCTTAGCTTACCGGTACAATATTGTTGGCCTACTTATGCTTGCAACAGCACTGTATTATTCAATTGATTCTGCCATTAAATTATCCAAAATCCACGTAATATTTTCTCTAATATGAATCCTGTGGATGCTAGTAAAGTATGGTTGTGATGATGGAATTTTAGATATCAGAAACCATGCCTTGATGCCTTTTTGTTGTCTTCCATGTGGAAGACTGTTACAATGTGTGTATATATTATATTTATAAAGAAACTAAATAAACACCAATATATTACTTGGTTGTGTTCATTATTACCATGATATGTATATCTAACAAAGACCTTCCATGAGATAACAATTACTATTAGCACAGATTATTCATTATATTGACCAGATACTTCATTGGCCGCCAAAATGAAAAGAAATGCCTTCAAAAATGGAAGGCAGTAAGAGCAGGTGGGACCATTCTAGCCAATGAGAGGGCAGATACGAGTGTGATAACAGGCACAATTCCGATATAAAGTGTTTATTTTTATCTCAAAGTTGACGGAATGTCACCTGTCCTACTTATATAGGTACATTTGTAACAACCTAAGCATTACAAAACTCCTATTCGATCAAATAAGCCATTACATTTTTTGCTAACCAAATTCGACACTCTTTAACCATGTTTTTATGCAAGTAAAGTCATATGGTATATAAAAAAAAATCAGGACAGCTATGATGGAAACAGGAAGTTTCGGTACAATTTTATAAATGCCGACAGATAATCTGTTTGACATGGTGGGATGTTTTTGTTGTCGCTAAAAAAATTTTATGTGAGAAATGGCGGTGGAAACGCCTTTATACGCAAATATTGATATAATAACCATCATATCGAAGTTAACTTGGAGTCGCGATGACTTGGTGTGTAGTCTTCCCATTACGACTCGGGAAACCATGCAGTTTATTAGGCTACAGATTAAATAAATGAACTTCACAGGGTGGTGAAAGTGCACGGTATGAGCTTGATGCTCCTTTCCAATAAAATGTTAAGGGTCTTATTCTGGTGACATGATGATCGATGCTTGACTGCCGTTTGACAAATAAATACAGTGAGAGAAAAAAGTATTTGATCCCCTGCTGATTTTGTACGTTTGCCCACTGACAAAGACATGATCAGTCTATAATTTTAATGGTAGGTTTATTTGAGCAGTGAGAGACAGAATAACAACAAAAAAATCCAGAAAAACGCATGTCAAAAATGTTATAAATGTATTTGCATTTTAATGATGGAAATAAGTATTTGACCCCTCTGCAAAACATGACTTAGTACTTAGTGGCAAAACCTTTGTTGGCAATCACAGAGGTCAGACGTTTCTTGTAGTTGGCCACCAGGTTTGCACACATCTCAGGAGGGATTTGTCCCACTCCTCTTTGCAGATCTTATCCAAGTCATTAAGGTTTCGAGCCTGACGTTTGGCAACTCCAACCTTCAGCTCCCTCCACAGATTTTCTATGGGATTAAGTTCTGGAGACTGGCTAGGCCACTCCAGGACCTTAATGTGCTTCTTCTTGAGCCACTCCTTTGTTGCCTTGGCCGTGTGTTTTGGGTCATTGTCATGCTGGAATACCCATCATGACCCATTTTCAAAGCCCTGGCTGAGGGAAGGAGGTTCTCACCCAAGATTTGACGGTACATGGCCCCGTCCATCGTCCCTTTGATGCGGTGAAGTTGTCTTGTCCCCTTAGCAGAAAAACACCCCCAAAGCATAATGTTTCCACCTCCATGTTTGATGGTGGGGATGGTGTTCTTGGGGTCATTGGCAGTATTCCTCCTCCTCCAAACACGGCGAGTTGAGTTGATGCCAAAGAGCTCGATTTTGGTCTCATCTGACCACAACACTTTCACCCAGTTCTCCTCTGAATCATTCAGATGTTCATTGGCAAACTTCAGACGGGCCTGTATATGTACTTTCTTGAGCAGGGGGACCTTGCGGGTGCTGCAGAATTTCAGTCCTTCACGGCGTAGTGTGTTACCAATTGTTTTCTTGGTGACTATGATCCCAGCTGCCTTGAGATCATTGACAAGATCCTCCTGTGTAGTTCTGGGCTGATTCCTCACCGTTCTCATGATCATTGCAACTCCACGAGGTGAGATCTTGCATGGAGCCCCAGGCCGAGGGAGATTGACAGTTATTTTGTGTTTCTTCCATTTGCGAATAATCACACCAACTGTTGTCACCTTCTCACCAAGCTGCTTGGCGATGGTCTTGTAGCCCATTCCAGCCTTGTGTAGGTCTACAATCTTGTCCCTGACATCCTTGGAGAGCTCTTTGGTCTTGGCCATGGTGGAGAGTTTGGAATCTGATTGATTGATTGCTTCTGTGGACAGGTGTCTTTTATACAGGTAACAAACTGAGATTAGGAGCACTCCCTTTAAGAGTGTGCTCCTAATCTCAGCTCGTTACCTGTATAAAAGACACCTGGGAGCCAGAAATCCTTCTGATTGAGAGGGGGTCAAATACTTATTTCCCTCATTAAAATGCAAATCAATTTATAACATTTTTGACATGCGTTTGTCTGGATTTTTTTGTTGTTATTCTGTCTCTCACTGTTTAAATATACCTACCATTAAAATTATAGACTGATCATTTCTTTGTCAGTGGGCAAACATACAAAATCAGCAGGGGATCAAATACTTTTTTCCCTCACTGTACATTCTTGCTCTTATGCATAATAATTTCATGTGTTGTAGACTAAACTACCAGCAGAGCCTACCTGAACTGTATCTGCGAGCCGTTGGCTAGAGCGCATGTGCCAAGACCAGAGTAGGCACGTTTGCTATTTAACACAACAGTTTTTGTGACAAAAAATTAAACATTCAATTTTTAGTACATGAAAACTTAAGCGAAAAAGTACATTTTGTCATGACGCACTGCTTTTTATCCGCAACAATGCCGTTTGGTGGAAAAATGTGCATATTTTCTTCATGCGGATTTTAGAATATTCTCATGAAAATCTGTTGCCAATTGGATGGAATCCTAGCTATTGACCTCCATAGAGTACCACAGTATGAGTCATAATACCCACAAAACCTAGCGGTCAAACAAGGAAATGGTTCCAATCGCGTTTCCACCATTCATTTTTCCCATAGGGGATTTTAGAAACACTTAAAATAAGGGCTGTGTTTCGTGTAGGCTTACCCTGGCGTTATGTTTTGATAACCATGTAAATCTCTCTAGGACAAGGTGACTTTTATCAATATATTCAATTGTATTTACCCCCCCAAAAAATTACATGCTAATTAGCTGTTAATGTGGCTATCATAAAGAACTACAAATGCCATGATGATCTGGACGAGACTGCCGAATCGAGGCAAAGGTAAGAATCTCTGGATTAACTATCTGTTAGCTAAATTTAGTAATTAATAAATTGGGGAAAAATAAATAAATTGACACAATACCTGTTAGCAAAGGCGTCAGCTAGAGATGACGTGCAGGAGCTTGCAGGGATTTGTAGTCTACTTTGATGCTAAGTAGCATTTTCTAATCTGCAAGTAAATAGAGCTGCATATATTGACAAAACTCACCTTATCCGAGAGAGATTTACATGGTCACGCCAGGATAAGCCTACACGAAACACAGCCCTTATGTTAAGTGTTTCTAAAAAAAACTACCTATGGGAAAAATGAATGGTAGAAAAACGATTGGAACCATTTCCTTGTTTGACCGCTAGGTTTTATGGGTATTACGACACCTCCACTGTGGGTCTCTATACAAAAACTCCTTGCATGGTGAGCGAAAAAAACGAAAAAACGCTTTCTGCTGGAAAATACAGTTATCCCTCTCGCTTTACCTCTTCCTCTCTGTTATTAGCTTATTATTATATATTTCTTAGAAATATATGCCATTGTCAAAATAACTACCATGATAAATCTATGAAAAAACTTGTCCCACAGTTGTCTGGAAAAAAACTGGTCCAGGGTCAGATATGTTTAATCGCCTCTTTCGTTACATTAGGATTGGGGGTGGGTAAATCTTACCTCGAGCAAGCGCGTTCCCATCTCTCAGCTCCCCCAACTATGGTTACGTGTGCGCTCCCGCTACTAAGCGACAAGATGGCGGTCGCCGCCGGATCAGGTAAACTATTCAGATAAATAAACGACTACCACATTACTTATGCCGTGTAACATTCAAGAAACGTTTGTTGATAAAGTGTACAAGCGTTCCATGTTACAATATACCTTACAGAAATGCTGAAGTACTGCTTATTGTACCAAAACATTGCTATACATAGCTACTAGCTAGCGCCTGCTATCTGACAATATTTTTTGTCTCGTAAGTTCCATTGCCATAGTGAATTGAAGCTAACAGGACATGTCAAATTCCGTTGGAACCTCTCCATGCATAGTTACCCATATATTTAACTCCGTTAACGTGGCAACATAACTCGCCAACCTGTGTCGACTGATCAATTGCCGCGTCATTCATCAGGCGTTATTTTTAGCCTGTTAACTAGCTAACGTTTGCTAACCACTCTAGCTCGTATCGCAAACTAGCTAGCTAGCTGCTCACGTTAGCTTCCACATCCAGAACGTCATTAGTAAGAAAGCTACAATCTAGTTAATTATTAGCTAGTCGCAGGAGGAGGTCGAAACCGGCTGACTTGTCTGAGGTTGTTAGCTAACTATATATAAACGGTTTCAGCACACGTTAGCTAGCTAGTAACTAGCTATTTGTTGTTAACTGCTTTGCTAGTGTAGCTAGCTAACTAGCTTGAACGACACGATTTGACAGTGATTTCGTGAGGTAACTTTAGCTAACTTGTCAGTCACATTAACTTGACTTGTAGTAGTTAGCTAGCTATCTTAAGTTACGTTGGAAATATGGCTATATTACTATATATATATATATATATATATATGAGTAATATAGCCATATCACTGACAAATCGTGTTGTTCCAGCTAGTTAGCTAGCTACACTAGTACCAGTTAACAACAAATAGCTAGTTACTACGCTAGCTAAAGTGTGCTGTAACCTTTCATATATAGTTAGCTAACTATATATATATATAATGCTTTCTAGTTAATAATGATGCTATCAATCAGCTAGCTAACGTTAGCTCACTCATCTGAATTTAGGCCAAGGCCAGACCCGTTTTGACCTAAGAACTGAAATGGCTAGCTAACGTTAGCAATAATTAGCTACCCACACATTTCTGCAGATTGCTTTACAGGCCAGTAACGTTACAAATTCAATTAGCTAGCTAAATATACACTCCTAGTTAATAATCAATGAACAACTACTCAAAATAGTCAGGGGTTTTATTTTACTAACTAACTTTGATTGGGTAGTGATAGTGGGGTAATTGTTGCAAAGTGGTCTCTAAGGCTTACACAAATAAATGTTACACAGATCTAATTAGCTTAATTATACAGTAACAGTGCGTTTTTATTACCAAAAACAATATAAGCAGCAATGCTGTAATTGGTAAATAAAGGTAAATGCCACACTACCAGATAGCCCTGTGTAGCTCAGTTGGTAGTGCATGGTGCTTGCAATGCCAGGGTTGTGGGTTCGATTCCCACGGGGGGCCAGTATAGGAGGGGGGGGGGGGGGGGGGAATGTATGCACTCACTAACTGTAAGTCGCTCTGGATAAGAGTATCTGCTAAATGACTAAAATGTAATAGCCATGACTGGGAATTTAGCAGATCATTTCTAGAACCTCAGTGTCAATGGGTCTACCCACTAAATCTGCCCTGAGTTATTGCTCACCTCTGCACCCAATAATATAAAAATGACAACATTTAGCGGGTACAGCTCATCAAGGAGCCACAAGTAACCCCCCAATCACTTTGTGATGTACTGTTACCCCGTGGTATACTCTAGTGATGGGGAACCAAGGCTTTCTGAAGTCTTTGGGGCTTTCACCAAATTGTGCTGAAAAACAGTTCATTATTCTGAGCTTTTAACACAATGCACATTAGTGACAGCTGCTGGTCAGCAATGAAAAGCAGCGTTTGATGTTAAATATGTTTTTTTGAAAATCCACATGATTTACTTACTATTTATTCCTATTCAATTATCAACGAAATAGGCTAATAAATAGCCTAATTCATGTCTGGCTACTACTGCCTGCATTTATTCCAGACACAGATTTAGATGAAGGTAGGCAAATTCTTTTGCCCCATATATTGTTTCGCTTTCGAGAGGCGCACAACTTTTCGCTCCCGACACTTATGCCACAACATTTGTACAATCAAAATAAACTATTTAAAAAATATTTTCTGATGATTGGTCGCTCGGTGAACTTGCATGGGCGAGAATAAATAATAACAAGCAAGCATGGGCTTGGATCACAACATAAGACGTCGTCAGCAATGGAACAATTATACGGACAGACAAAGTTGGCCTACTAAACAATGCCAAGTAGACAGACGACAACAACCATATGGCCTCAGCAAAGTCGACAGGAAATACCTAGATTGAACAACAATGACTAGCTACGGATTCTGATTCATACACAATTTTTGGAGAAGGGGAGACTTGTTCCCTGAGACTGTGAGTAAGTGAAACAGAGCCGGGCGCGTGTGTCTGTCTGAGGAAATGTGAGCAGAGGAAGAGCGGCTTGTTCTAATCCAATTCAATTGTTCCAGCAGGCTCAACCGATACCTCGCCCATTTCTTTATATACAGAAGAACTATCCAATAGTTGTTTAGAGCGCACATCGCTTCACACTGTTTGAGTGAAAGAGAGATGCGTGCTGCCAGCTGAAAATCATTTTTTTCAGATCACGGATAATGACAAAAAATACTCCTGTCATATCTCCATATCCGTTAAGATACTCGTTTTGTGCGAGTAGGCTTCTATTTTATGCTTTAGAGGGGGATGGGCAGGTTGCCTACACACCAGGGTTTCCGTTAGCCGGTAGCCAATTTTGTCGGCATTTGGCCCCAAAATTAAATAAACAATAATAATAATAATAATAATAATAATAAAAGATACAATTGTAGCCGTCCAAATTGTCCAGGAGAGGCTGTCTATCATAGCCTGCACTCCAAATTCGCGCTTCAGCACCATTCTCACACTCCTTGCGCACACGTGTGCCTGCTGCTGAGGAGAGAGTGAGAGAAGAGCCTTGGCCTAGGCTACTGTTGATTGCGAAGATGGAGGCCTTTTTTCATTGAAGCAAAATGAAATTTAGAGGAAAAAGAGGAATGTCCTCCGTTTTAATTGCTCTGCCATTTCCTGGTTGCTAAAATTCTAATAGTTTGCGTAAGTTTGTGACAAAACAAACAAGTATAGTGTAGAGAATCATTGTACCATCTAAACTGCTGTGAAATATATTTTCCATAACGAAAAAGGTTGTATTTTCAGCTGTTTGAAGGTGGTGTACAAAACCGAAAGTAAAAGACCCAAAAACAAAACGTAAGAACGGGAAGCATAGAAATAGCGCACATAGAACAGATCTACCGCTTCTTAGACTTGCTTTCAATGAGAATGACAGATCTATAACTCACATTTCTGTGAATTTGGTCAGGTCACCCCAAAAGTTACATATTGCAGCTTTAAGCTTTAGCTACTGCATGCCTTTGATATGAAGGCAGTGCCAGCGGCTCTCCAACTGACTACGACATTTGAACTTGAGGTGAAGAAGGGGGTTTTAGGCCTACCAGAGTTAATCCTATAATCGAACAATATAATGCTTATCTTTATACAAAATATTCTGATAGAAAATTAACGAATTGGCCTCCTTCTGTAAGCCTTTATCTGTATAGCAGACGCAGTACCCATTTGACATAAAGAAATGCATGTTGGTGTCGTAGCATGCCGCCGGCATATCTCTCTCTATCTCTCTCTATGGGGCTAGGCCTATATTAGGAAGGTGTTCCTGATGTTTGGTATACTCAGTGAACCATAACGGGGTGTGTACTGTTTGTTTTGTCTTGTGTGGTATTTCAATCATTTCTGTTTTCTGTGCTTGTTTGTCTCTCACACCAATAGGCGTTAAGGTTCCTCGTAACTTCCGGCTGCTTGAAGAGCTGGAAGAAGGTCAGAAAGGTGTGGGGGATGGGACAGTGAGCTGGGGATTGGAAGATGATGAGGACATGACCTTAACAAGATGGAGAGGGATGATCATTGGCCCTCCTAGGGTGAGTTGGCTACTCTGATTCACAGGCATTCACCAAGTTCGACTCCCTGGCCTTGTCCAGAAACAACCCATAGTGCCGACCCCACTAGGCACTTGCGGCGATCTGAGAGGATTGGACAGGTGTAAGCAATATGGAAAAAATTCCACTATGGCCTATCAAAGAGCAAGGTGGAGCTATAACCATAATGCTGAAATCTGTCCCATCCATTCAGATCTTCACAAGCGTCTAGGGGGTAGGGACTAGAGTTTGTTCCTGGATGGGGCCACTGTTTACTATGTAGACATTCTGTATAACCTGCTATCAGGAACCTTTGTCTGGCCTTCCATTCTCACTGATGTCTTTGTATGTCATTTTTCAGACAATCTATGAAAACAGGATGTACAGTCTGAAGGTTGAATGTGGGCCCAGATATCCAGAGGCACCACCATTTGTCAGATTTGTGACTAAGATCAACTTGAATGGTGTGCACAACTCCAATGGCGTGGTAAGTAAACCTGTTTGGCTGGTCTTATTGCAGTCTCATAAAATGCTGTAAATCCTGCAAAATGTGTCAATCTGTGAAGGAAGATGTTGGAAAATGTCTCCTTTTCTGTTGTAGATCTTTTTTGATGTATGTTTGAAGATTTGATTATATTAATTGAAGTGAATGACTGATTAAATTGCCCCTGGCTGCTATAATAAGATAGAGGTCAGTGCAGGGCTAACATGCAGTTGGATGACTGGTACACACACATGATAACATACACACTATACACACGTACACATGGGATTTGTGTTGTAGATATGTGGTAGTAGAGTAGTGGCCTGAGGGCACACACTTAATGTGTTGTGAAATGTAATGTTTTTAATTATATATGTATTTGCCTCAATGTTGCTGGACCCTAGGAAGAGTAACTGCTGCGTTGGCATCAGCTAATGGGGATCCATAATAAATACAAATGCCTACTAAGTTTAGGTCAAATTACAGACAGGAAATGTCACATGCAATAAGAGCCCATTGCCATTTCAGATGACACTTTGCTTGAACATACTAAATATAGTTATGCATGATCGTATATTCCAGAGGTTGCATTGAAGTAGACTTATCTGCATTTTATATCCATAAAAAAAACGATCTCTTTCTGCCATGTTATGTAGCTAATACTTTTTTTATATAGTGTCATTTGATCACAACTAATCAGTGCTTCAGCCAACTAAAATATTCCTACAAAATATACAGAGATGTGATTGAGGTGTGATGTAATCTTTCTCTCCTTGTTCCCTGTCCTGCAGGTTGACACACGAGCAGTGTCTGCGCTGGCCAAGTGGCAGAACTCCTACAGCATCCGTGTGGTCCTGCAGGAGCTCAGACGACTCATGATGTGCAAGGAGAACATGAAACTCCCCCAGCCACCAGAGGGCCAAATCTACACCAACTGAACCCACGTTACTACTCACCTCCTTTTTCCCCTCTTTTGTTTGCAGTCATCCGTTCACCCCATCTACCACTTCCCTCCTTTTTTCATTCAGTTGCCTGCCAACACTCAAGTGTACACACACACAGAGAGAGATATAGGGACATACATGTATGTACGTGTACATAAACACATACACATAGGAACGTACATGTGTTCGAACACACAATCAATCACTTCTGTATGCGCCATTCTCAGGCCCCTCCCCCTCTTCCATCACTGGAGCTCTGGTTGGCCTAAAGAAGACTAGGCAGGCGGAGTCATCGGTCCACACCAGACCTGATCATTAGAATACTGTACATCTTACTAATCTTTTTTTTTATTATTATTTGTTATAAATGCAGATTGTACAATAACATAAATAATCTTATTGAGTGTACATTTTGTGTGCTGCCTTTTTGTAATGGAGAAAGAACCCCAGCCTGTCAACAGTTTCCTGACTTGTTTATAATTATAATCCACCGATTAAGAGAGTATTTGTGGATGTTGTTCAGTGCAAGATATAAATTAGATACATTTTTCTTATCAGGTTCTAAACATAAAGATCAACCAGTCAATTACCTTACCTCCCCATTGATTTAGAGAGCTTGACCCAACAAATATGTTAAAATATTTAGTGTTTTTCTTGGCTTTGTGTATCTTGTATAGCAATTTATTTACGAGCTCCACTGGAAATGCATGTGACTGCAGCAGTTTATGGCAAGATGCCTGAAGTAGTAAGCCCTTCATGCTGTCACTGTGGTCAACACTCTCATGGCCATGACAAAGGCAACCACTGATATTTAGCCTCCTATACCCAGTAATGTTTAAGTTCATAAGTGTAATTGGGTGTATTAACTCAATACAATACTAACAACCATTTAAGATAACAACCCTTGAATGGAGAACTTGAATTAGCTACCTCTTTTGGTCCTTAGTTATAGGGGAGGAGAATTGACCAGTTTTCTTCCCGCATAAATCTTGCATCATGCCTTCACACTTATGTATAGTGTCTAGAGTCCTATGGATCTAACCCCCTGCAGGCATTTCCCATGTTTGTCTCAGATTACTAGTGTCATTGGGTTTAAGGTCATTCAAACACTGTTAGTATGGGTTATGAAACTACAGTGATTGTACTTTTACACAATATCTTGGTCCGTACATTATCTTATGTATAGTGTTTACGTATGTTCCCTTTGAGTGATCTTACCTAACATGCAGTAAATGTCAGTGTGACCTGTTTTGACTTTATCAGTAATAAAGGTGGCTAGTTTATTGAGCTTATAAAGTACAATATTACAATTATTATGCTCCTCTTGAATTGGGATCAGAAGAAATATTATATCAAAAGGGTGCAGTCCTATTAGCTTCAAAGTTCAGCATTTAAAGTTATGTGGACATAATTGCCCTTGTGCACATTATAAAATGGCTTACATACAGTGCATTCAGAAAGTATTCAGACCCCTTGACCTTTTCCACATTTTGTTACGTTACAGCCGTATTCTAAAATGGATTAAATTGTTTTCCCCCCTCATCAATTACACACAATACCCCATAATGACAAAGTAAAAACAGGTCTCTTCAGAGATGTTCGATTGGGTTAATGTCCGGGCTCTGGCTAGGCAACTCAAGGACATTCAGAGACTTGTCCCGAAGCCACTCCTGCGTTGTCTTGGCTGTGTGCTTAGGGTCGTTGTCCTGTTGGAAGGTGAACCTTCGCCCCAGTCTGAGGTCCTGAGCGCTCTGGAGCAGGTTTTCATCAAGGATCTCTCTGTACTTTGCTCTGTTCATATTTCCCTCAGTCCCAGTCCCAGTCCTTGCCGCTGAAAAACATCCCCACAGCATGATGCTGCCACCGCCATGCTTCACCGTAGGGATGGTGCCAGGTTTCCTCCAGACGTGACACTTGGCATTCAGGCCAAAGAGTTCAATCTTGGTTTCATCAGACGAGAGAATCTTGTTTCTCATGGTCAGAGTCCTTTAGATGCCTTTTGGCAAACTCCAAGTGGCCTGTCAAGTGCATGTTACTGAGGAGTGTCTTCCGTCTGGCCACTCTACCATAAAGGCCTAATTGGTGGAGTGCTGCAGAGATGGTTGTCCTTCTGGAATGTTCTCCCATCTCCACAGAGGAACTCTGGAGCTCTGTCAGAGTGACCATCGGGTTCTTGGTCACCTCCCTGACCAAGACCCTTCTCCCCCGATTGCTCAGTTTGGCCGGTGCGGACAGCTCTAGGAAGAGTCTAGGTGGTTCCAAACTTCATCCATTTAAGAATGATGGAGGCCACTGTGTTCTTGGGGACCTTCCATGCTGCAGACAATCCTGTCTCGGAGCTCTATGGACAATTCCTTCGACCTCATGGCTTGGTTTTTGCTCCGACATGCACTGTCAACTGTGGGACCTTATATAGACGTGTGTGCCTTTTCAAATCATGTCCAATCAATTGAATTTACCACAGGTGGACTCCAATCAAATTGTAGAAACAGCTCATGGATGATCAATGGAAACAGGCTGCACCTGAGCTCAATTTCGAGTGTCATAGCAAAAGGTCTGAAGACTTATGTAAATAAGGTATTTATTTTTTATACATTTGCAAAACATTTCTAAAAACTTGTTTTCACTTTGTTATTATGGGGTATTGTGTGTAGATTGATGAGAATTTTATTTTATCCATTTTAGAATAGGGCTGTAATGTAACAAAATGTGGATAAAGTCAAGGGGTCTGAATACTTTCCGAGGTGCATCCTGTTTCCATTGGTCATCCTTGAGATGTTTCTACAACTTGATTGGAGTCCACCTGTGGTAAATAAATTTGATTGGACATGATTTGGAAAGGCACACACCTGTCTATATAAGGTCCCACAGTTGACTGTGCATGCCAGGGAAGGACAGTGAGATGGCGGAAGCAGAAGTGTCATTTGAAGCTGAAATGGAACAAAAAGGGCAAAAACAATTTGTGGAAAATGAGTCTGATGAATCGTTGCTTGTTGGAGTATGTTTTTTTGGATAAGGATATTTATTTGGGAAACCCTTTTGAAGTCACGAGGACGGTAAAGAAGGAGTTGGGAAAAGTGGATGCAGTCAAAGTAACCAGGAGTGGTATGGTGTTTATCGTGTGTATCTAAAGAGCAAAATGAGCGTGCATTGTGGCTCGCGAAATTATCCACACTTGAAGTGCACAGTTTTGATTTTCGGAGCAGGACACCGGTAAAAGGTGTTATCTCTGGCGTCCCGTTGGACATTGATAATTAACATCTTAGGCTAAAAACTCCAGAAGTAGTTAATGCACGTCGCTTGACACGTATAGAGAATGGGAAAAAATAGCAACGTGTATCTGTATTATTGATGTTTGATGAGTATTTACCACCCTATGTAAAGTTGGGATATATAAAAGATATGCCGTAAGAGCGTTCGTGCAAAACCCGATGCAATGAATGAAGTGTAAAACGTTTGTCCATGTGTCAAGTGTTTGCAGACGGAAGGAATATGTTATTGAAGAGTCTGTGAATGTAAAATGTTGCAACTGTGGTGGGGATCATATTTCCGAATTCCCCGAGTGCCCTGTTAGGGTGAAAGAGGTTGAGGTGTCAAGGATCAGGGCTGTACAGCAAATCTATGTGGAGGCGTTGAAATGGCAAGAGGCCACAGTTCTGAAGAGATATAGCGGTGGATACACCACAACCAGTTGCAAATGTTATACGTCAATCAAGTGATCTGGATACACTTATTGTGAAGAAGGTGGACTTTGTAACCTTTATAGCCACAGTTATTAATTGTACTGCACAAGTGTCCAAGAAGTCCAAGAAGCTGGACATCATATCTGCAGCCGCTAAGTTTTTTGGGCCTCCAAGACATAACAGCAGAAGCACTGCAAGGACGACTGTCACCAGGAAATGCCCCGCCATCACAGGATCCGTCTGAGCCTGTGTAAGGACCTGATTAAAACAGAAAAGCAGGCTGATTTTAGTTTAATTAACATTTAGGTTTGTATGGAATTTTTATATTTTCTCTGTTTGGATCATTATTATCCACCTGTATAGTAGGTGATGGAATGCACATATAATTGTTGTGATACGCCATTATACCGAAGAAGAAGTGCATGTCAGAGGAAAAACCAAGCCATGAGGTCGAAGGAATTGTCCGTTGAGCTCCGAGACAGGATTGTTTTGAGGCTCAGATCTGGGCAAGGGTACCAAAACATTTCTGCAGCATTGAAGGTCCCAAAGAACACAGTGGCCTCCATCACTCTTAAATTGAATACATTTGGAACCCCCAAGACTCTTCCTAGAGCTGGCCGCCTGGCCAAACTGAGCAATTGGGGGAGAAGGGCCTTGGTCAGGGAGGTGACCAAGAACCCGATGGTCACTCTGACAGAGCTCCAGAGTTCCTCTTTGGAGATGGTTGTCCTTCTGGATAGTTCTCCCATCTCTGCAGCACTCCACACCAATCAGTCCTTAATGGTAGCGTGGCCAGACGGAAGCCACTCCTCAGTAAAAGGCACATGACAGCCCGCTTGGAGTTTGCCAAGAGGCACCTAAAGGAAACAAGATTCTCTAGTCTGATGAAACCAAGATTGAACTCTTTGGCCTGAATGCCAAGTGTCATGTCTGGAGAAAACCAGGCACCGCTCATCACCTGGCCAATACCATCCCTATGGTGAAGCATGGTGGTGGCAGCTTCATGCTGTGGGGATGTTTTTCAGCGGCAGGAACTGGGAGACTAGTCCGGCTCGAGGGGAAAGATGAACGGAGCGAAATACAGAGAGATCCTTGATGAAAACCTGCTCCAGAGCGCTCAAGACCTCAGACTGGGGCGACGGTTCACCTTCCAACAGGACAACGACCCTAAGCACACAGCGAAGACAACGCAGGAGTGGCTTCGGGACAAGTCTCTGAATGTCCTTGAGTGGCCCAGCCAGAGCCCGGACTTGAACCTGATCGAATATAGCTGTGTAGCGACGCTCCCCATCCAACCTGACAGAGCTTGAGAGGATCTGAAGAGAAGAATAGGAGAAACTCCCCAAATACAGGTGTGCCAAGCTTGTAGCGTCATACCCAAAAAGACTTGAGGCTGTAATAGCTGCCAAAGGTGCTTCAACAAAGTACTGAGTAAAAGGTCTGAATACTTATGTAAATGTGATATTTCAGTTTTTTATTTGTAATAAATATGCTACAATTTCTAAACCTGTTTTTGCTTTGTCATTATGGGGTATTGAGGGTAGATGAGGGGGGGGGAAAACAATTTAATCCATTTTAGAATAAGGCTGTAACGTAACAATGTGGAATCAATGAAGGGGTCTGTACTTTCCAAATGCACTGTAATTGTGGAATGAGAAAAGGGACCGTAGGTCTCCCATTAGTCTAACGGGGCTGGGCAGGCTGAGGAAGGGGACGTCCCATCGCTACTGTGTCTGAGTTTATGGCTGTTGCACAGACTTAAAAAGGACACAGTTGAGTTTAATCTAACATGGTGGAGCTGACTGCTGGACTGGACTCTGAACTACCCACAAGGCACTAGTTTCTTAGTTTATCCTCTAGCCTGCGTGTGAAGGAGAGAGGAGCCGGTCACACTGTCCCAAAAAAGCTCTGTGTATATAGGATGAGAGAGTGAGGAAGTTGGATTCCTCAATAGGGCATCCACCCAGTGGCTCAAGAAACCTGTGAGTACAATTTTTTTATCTGCTTGAATCCTATGAGTTGTATAGATAATGTTGCAGTGCCCTAGAGGCAAGCAATGGAACAATAATGGAAGCTTAAGTGTATCAATTTCATATATTGTAAAGGAGGCCTTTTTCCGGTAGATTCTGATGATCTATTCCTCTGACAAGAATAATGGTGATCAATATGAAGTAAAGGTTCTTGCCCTCCCTTCACTTTAAAATATACTTTGTGTGAATTACTGTAACACATCTGGCCTTTGTAAGCCAGATACACAGAATGGGCCTAACAAATGAGAATGTCAGACCAACATCATGAAATGGTGTGACAGCAAAACGCCTGTCTGATGTTTCACTAGCAGAGATGGGAAATGAGCATGGCCATGTAGACCGAATTGTGCAGTAGTAAAGTTTACTTTGTAAAGGTAAAAGAAGAGACTTGAGTTCCAGGATCCGGTCGACGTAAAAGTTTTAATACAGAGTTTTGGGTATAGGTGGTCATGTGAAAATGCAAAGGCTAAAAAGCCACGACCAAGAATAGCATGGTGCAAATTATGCTTATGAGTCTCAAGAATATATAGTCATTCTGAATTACGTATAGATGCATCTTAACAGACAATGGTTGATATGAAACGGATACAATTTCTAGTTGAACAATGAGAACAGTGAAACATTTGTTACTTTGTGTACAGTGTGTGATGTTCAGCAGCTTGAGCCAGTTCAAGATTTGGATTGTCAGTGTCACGAGTTGAGGCCTCTGAGAATTGTGTGTCCTGTGTGATCTAGGTCGTCGGCAGGCATTGGGCTGGCCAGGCTGGCCTCCACTGCCTTGTGGTATGTTGTATTTCTAGACCATGTGTTAGGGAAGTGAAAATGACTTCAGCTGGTTGTCATGCGACTGTGTAGAGTAGACTGAAATACTTATCTGTTGTATTGCTAGTATTGTCTCAAAGTTTCATGGTCTCCTCAATGGTCTCATCTGTGTATTCATTTAAAATACATTACATCTGATAATCATTACTCCAGCTACACGGTTAGGTAGTTGTCCATGACTTACATTTTTTTTACTTTTTACTTGTAGGCATTCAGTGTAACTAAACCAGTCATTTCAAAGTGTGAAGTGTGACATTTGCACCCTTGAGCAACACCCTGTGCATAAATATATAGGGCTTTACACAGGCAGCACAATTCTGATCTTTTTTCCACTAATTGGTCTTTTGACCAATCACATCAGATCTTTTCACATTAGATATTTTTCAGAGCTGATCTGATTGGTCAAATGACCAATTTTGTGAATTAAAAGATCAGAATTGGGCTGCCTGTGTAAACACAGCCGAGAGCATCAGCGTTGAACTAGTTGACCGAGATCTGCATATGACAGGTTGCTTCACCCTGTATGACTAAAGTTAAAGTGTAAACCAGCACGGTAAAAAGCTGTTTGATTAAATGACAAAAGGAATGCACTTTCAATAAGTAAGAACAGATTTGGTAAGCCCACAATAACAATGTGATATTTGCTCTTGGTTAATCAGTAATGATGGTCCAGGCTATAGGGCAAGGCCTACCAGTTGATATATCCTTAAAGAGAGATTTGGTACTACAATACTAACATCTAAAACTTTTACTAGCATAATTATTGTCCTACTCATTTGACCCTAAATCTAATTTGATCGTTTTAGCAGCAATGTCTTTAAGTGTTAATGGTATCTCGATATTTCCAATTTTTCTAGGCTCTGAGGGCTGGCCGGGTTGAAACTGTTCGGAGAGATCTTCACTTCAGATCAGAAGTTCCTCCAGAAGACTACCTCACCTCACCTGACCTGACTGAGACCAGCAACAATACAGCCATGTCTCTGCTGATCCATGTGCTGGCCTGCTGCTTCGGCCTGGGCTCCTGGGTGGCTGTCAACGGCCTGTGGGTGGAGCTCCCCCTCATTGTTAAGACCCTCCCCGAGGGCTGGGAACTACCATCTTACCTGACCGTTATCATCCAGCTCGCCAACCTGGGGCCTCTGCTGGTCACTCTCATGCACAAGCTGTGTCCGGGCCGTCTGAAGGAGAGCGCTGCCATCTACAGTGTGTTGTCCATAGGTGTCCTGGCCTGTATACTGCTGGCGTTCTCCTGGGATGAGACCACAGTGGTGGCGGCGGCATCTCGGAGCACAGCATTCTTTATCCTCACCTTCTTCCTGGCCTTGGTGGACTGCACCTCCTCTGTCACCTTCCTGCCCTTCATGATGCAGCTGCCAGCCCACTACATCACCACCTACTTCATTGGAGAGGGCCTGAGTGGCTTTATCCCCGGTCTGGTGGCTCTCGGCCAGGGCATCGGCATGGCCAAGTGTGTGAATGCCACTCAGTTCTCTGGTAACCTCACTGAAGAGGATATGTACATTGTCCAGACCCAGTATCTACCGCCCAACTTCTCCACCGAGGTGTTTTTCTTCTTCCTGGCGGCCATGATGTGCATCAGCCTGGCAGCATTCTCTGCACTTAACAGGCTCCCAAGGACCTTTGAACTGTCCACAGAGAACCTAGTTCCAGACACTGACACAGTGGCGTCAGTCTGCTCCGGACTGGACAACCCTGGAGCAGTGACTGAAGGGGAGAACTCAAACCCAAAACGTCACAGTGAGGAATCATGTCAACCCAGGCCACAGCTGGCTAAACCAGGCCACTCTGTTTTTCAGTTAACTTTTATCTATTCCATGGTGGTCTGGGTGAATGGGGCGACTAACGGCCTCTTGCCCTCGGTGCAGACATACTCCTGTATGCCCTACGGTAACCTAGCTTATCACCTGTCGGCTGCTCTGGCATCCTGTGCCAACCCAGTGGCCTGTATAGTCGCCATGTTGTTTCCTGAAAGGTAAAACCTCAAATAGCCTCAGTAACTCTCTAAATTGATTAATATGGTTGAAATAGCTTCCCACTGTTAAAGGTGACACATTTTACAGCATGCTAAGGTAAAAATATAGTATATAAAGTAATTCAGCTTTCCCTCACTGCGGCTATCTCTGTGGTTATCTAGAATGTCTTTACTTCAGATACAGGTACCTAACTAGTTCCTGTCCTGAGTCTCTGTTTAGGTCACTAGTGCTCCTGGGTGTAATGTGTCTCCTTGGATCAGTCTTTGGAGGATACAACATGGCAATGGCCACCATGAGTCCATGTCCACTACTACAAGGCTCCGCATTGGGAGAAGCCATCATAGTGAGTAACACACCTCCACCTGTAGAGATACTATAGGTCTCAGTCCAGAGACACTTTCTAAGAAACGGTTGGCTCTCTGTCAGTTCATTGATCCTTGGTATTCCAGAAAAGGAATAGTGACAAAGTTGTGCTGTCATTTGAGTTTGAGTTTGAGTTTATTTTTTACAGGGACAGTGCACATTAATCAACGTTTCAGTAAAAGTGCCGGTTTTAGCCAGCCGGCTAATTTTCAACCGCAGTCCCTGGGCAGGTTATTAAAAACAATTACAATATAGACAATAACAACATAGAACAAGACATAGCATACAGACATAGCAACATAGGACAAGCAAGACGTAGCATACAGACAGAGCAACATAGAACAAAAAGCAGCAAGACAAAATTCATAAAAGCAACAAAGTGTTTCCACACCTCACAAGTTACAGACAACAGACATGGAAAGCGGCAACACACAGCTAAGGACCATGTTCACAAATCTGATTGACCTTTAGCCATGTCTTCAAGCATTTTGTGAAAGTGTGATATGTGGTGCAGTTGTGTGTGTCTGATGGCAGTGTATTCCAGACATGGGAAGCTCTCACAGAAAAAGCAGATTTACTAAAGGTGCTTTTCCTTAGGGGAACTACACAGTCACCTCTCATGGCAGACCTTGTGGATCTGCTGCCATATGTTTGGGTTTTCTGTTTAACAAAAATACTGAGTGGAGGGAGAGCCAAGCCATTTAGGATCTTGAATACAAGACATGCATCTGTGTATTGCACAAGATTTTCCCAACTCAGGAGCTCATGCTTTCTAAGGATGTGACAGTGATGATGGCTATTGGGCTTCCTATCAAGCACTTTGAGAGCCTGTTTGTAGACAGACTGAATAGGTCTTACTGTTGTACAGCAAGCTTGGGCCCAACTAGTCAAGCAGTATGTTAAGTGGGGGAGTATCATAGATTTGAAGTACAGTTTTGCTACCTCTGTAGTCAAACAATTTCGTATAAATCGGAAATTAGCTAGGTTGAATTTGGTTATTTGAATTACCTTTTTCACATGCTTTTTAAAAGAGAGGTTGGAATCAAGTATGATGCCAAGGTACTTAAAATCAGATACCCCCTGGAGCTTCTCCCCTGACACATAGACTTCTGGCTCAGTAGCATCTGTTGCCCTCTTTGTGAAGAACATGCAAACAGTTTTTTTCACATTGAGATGCAAACACGAGTCACTGAGCCATTTTGTAACCTGGACCATTACAGTAGTGAGTTCTTGTGCAGCTTGTTGTTTGCTCTTTGCATGCACATATATCACTGTATCATCTGCATACATTTGAACTTCAGACCCAGTACAGACAGAAGGCAGATCATTAATGTACAGGCTGAACAGGAGGGGCCCCAGTATTGACCCTTGGGGCACACCCACATCATAGCTAAGAGTGGGCGACAGCTCATTGCTCACTCTGACACACTGAGTTCTGCCTTCAAGGTATGATTTCATCCATCTCAAGGCATCGGGGGAAAAGTTGAACTTGGACAATTTTGTGATGAGAATCTCATGGTTAACAGTATCAAAAGCCTTCCTTAGGTCCAGAAACACAGCCCCAACAACGCCCCCTTTGTCCATCTTGGACTTCACATTTTCCAGAAAAAAGCAGTTGGCCATTTCTGTGGAGTGTTTCGCTCTGAAGCCAAACTGCATGGAATGTAATGTGAAGGGACTGTTGTTGAGGTGGGCAATCAGTTGTTCTGCTACACACTTTTCAACAACCTTTGACACCACAGGTAGTATACTAATGGGCCTGTAGTTACTCACGTCAGCAGGGTCGCCTGATTTAAAGATGGCCGTTATTATGGCCGACTTCCATACCCTTGGAAACACCCCGAGACCAATAGATGTGTTGGTGACCTTAGTAATGGGGCCAATGAGTGACTCTTTGTAGTTTTTAAGAAAGGTAGAGTCCATCCCAAACACATCTTTGGCTTTAGAGTTCTTTAGTGAGCTAATCACCTTGTCTACCTTTGACTCAGAAACCTCCCTTATGATGAAGACAGGTTGAGCATCATTTACTAGCACTGAGCCCAAGAAACCAGTGGAGGGGTTCTGTGTCAGTACCCTGACAGAGTCAATAAAGTAGGAATTGAAGGCTATTGCTATTTCGACTGCATCCTGTGTTAGATTGTTATTCACCATGATTTCTAGTCTTTTTGCAGTGTTACTATGGTCTTTCCCTGTTAACTTTTTTAGATTCTCCCAGATCAGTTTAGAATTTCCCTTTGCTTCACCAATTATGTTATGTGACGTCACGAGGGGCTACACAGCTTTCAGCGGGATTGCTCAAGTAGTGCAAGGAGACAAGGTTCAAACAAAACAAGGATTTTATTATAGGTCTTGGGAAATTAACGAAAATATAACAAAATTCTGTTCTCTTGTGGCTCTTTAAGGGTTAACAGTTCAGGGATGTCTCTTCCACATCCAAAATCATAATTCTCACTCGCTCAGATAACTTTTCCCCAGCCTTACTGTAGTCCCCGTTGCAGCTAGTGGCCAACCCAGCAAAAAGTCCTTCCAAATGTCTCTCACGTATTTCCACAGGTGCATATATCCAAAGGTGAGTATTTCCCAAAGGTAAGTATCTCCAAATCCTTATATTCCTCATGGAAGTGGACGTGCAGCACTCTTGTCCTCCAGAGAGCCCAGGTTGGAGACTGGGTTTCTTCACCCCCCCACACACTCCCTCAGTGTGTCTCTTCCCTTCCAAAACCTCCAGCTCATCAGCTCCTGATTTGTTTCAGCTGCGTGGGAAGATTGGCCATAGAGGGGTGGAGTTCCCGACCATACCAGCAGATGGAGCCATAGCTGTCTGGGTTTGCAGCCACCTCAGGGGGATGTAACGTCCCTCCAGGACACAGCCTCTCGTGACATCACACATCCCCCTCCTCGGGACCGACGTCCTCGTCGGGGTAAAGGCAGCGAAGAAGGCATCACGCCGGGAGAGGGCGTCCGCATTGCCGTGGTGCTTGCCAGCCCTGTGGACAACAGAAAAGTTAAACGGTTGCAAGCTCAAAAACCATCTGGTTACTCTACTGTTTGATTCCTTGTTCTTGGCCATCCACTGCAGAGGGGCGTGATCAGATACCACCATGAAACGTCGGCCCAGGAGATAGAACCGAAGGGACTCCAGGGCCCAGACTACAGCCAGACATTCTTTCTCCACCGTTGAATAGTTCTTCTCTCTTGGAAGTAACTTTCTGCTTAGGTAGAGAATGGGATGTTCTTCACCGTCATGTGCCTGGGTGCTGAGCTGGAGGACTCCGCAGTGGGCATAGGTTCATCGGCTGGTTTCCCACACTGCCAGGAGATATGTCCCATCTCCCCACACCGGTAATACTGTCGAGTTTCCCCCTCCTGGTGTACTCTTCTTGGACCCGCCTGGTTTCTGGCTCCCCCTGGAGCCGGGATAAGTCCTGACGTGGCTGGGTTCGAGACCTTGGGGTCCTTTGGACGGGTTCTTCCCATTTGTGGTGGGGCCGCACTCCTGGGGTCTTTTCGGGAAGCATTCAGCATCTCCGCTGTGGCCTGGTACTTTTCCACAGCTTCCACGGTCAGATCAGCCATGGTCAAGGCCTGTTGACTGATGACCCGTTTTGCCTCATAAGGCAGGGCGCGTAGGTAACGATCCACCACAACGGCCTCCACCACCGCCGCTGCTGTATTCCTCTGCGGATCCAGCCATTTCCTTGCGATTCGGACAAGTTCATGCATCTGCGCCCGAGGAGGTTGGTCTGGTTGGAAGGTCCAGCTGTGAAAGCGCTGGGCCATACCAAACTTTGTGAGTCCATATCTGCTGAGGATCTCAGACTTCAGGGCATCATAGTCAGTAACCTGGTCAGGGCCCAGGTCCCGGACAGCATTCAGCGATTCCCCGGTTAGAAAGGGGGCTAACAGACCAACCCACTGTTGCTTGGGCCAGGCTTCCCTAGTGGCCGTGGCCTCAAATGCATGCAGGTATGCCTCAATGTCATCGGTAGCTCCCATCTTAGATATAAAGTCACTTGCCTTTATTGGGCGGGTATTTTGGACAACCCTCTGTCTCTGCAACTGCAATTCCTCTGCCTTCAGAAGGTTGGCTTTCTTTTGCTCCTCCAAGAGAGCCACGTTTGCTTGCATCTGGGCTTGCTGGCCAGCAACAAGGGCTTTCAATATGTCCTCCATTTCAGTCGGCGGGGAGCCTACGGCCAACTTGGAAAACTGGGTGATCAAACCTTCGGTATCCTCCTCTGACATGCACTATTAACGCTTGAGCTTGCCCGTATTCTCCACCATCTGTGACGTCACGAGGGGCTACACAGCTTTCAGCGGGATTGCTCAAGTAGTGCAAGGAGACAAGGTTCAAACAAAACAAGGATTTTATTATAGGTCTTGGGAAATTAACGAAAATATAACAAAATTCTGTTCTCTTGTGGCTCTTTAAGGGTTAACAGTTCAGGGATGTCTCTTCCACATCCAAAATCATAATTCTCACTCGCTCAGATAACTTTTCCCCAGCCTTACTGTAGTCCCCGTTGCAGCTAGTGGCCAACCCAGCAAAAAGTCCTTCCAAATGTCTCTCATGTATTTCCACAGGTGCATATATCCAAAGGTGAGTATTTCCCAAAGGTAAGTATCTCCAAATCCTTATATTCCTCATGGAAGTGGACGTGCAGCACTCTTGTCCTCCAGAGAGCCCAGGTTGGAGACTGGGTTTCTTCACCCCCCACACACTCCCTCAGTGTGTCTCTTCCCTTCCAAAACCTCCAGCTCATCAGCTCCTGATTTGTTTCAGCTGCGTGGGAAGATTGGCCATAGAGGGGTGGAGTTCCCGACCATACCAGCAGATGGAGCCATAGCTGTCTGGGTTTGCAGCCACCTCAGGGGGATGTAACGTCCCTCCAGGACACAGCCTCTCGTGACATCACAGTTAATAAAAAAGTTTGCCTTGGCCTGTCTGATTTCTTTCATCACCTTATTTCTCAACATGGTAAACCTACGTCTGTCATGCTCTAATTTGGATCTTAGGGCTATTTTTAGATAATAATCTCGTTCTTTCATCAATTTCCAGATTTCTCCATTTAGCCAAGGAAGAGTGCTCTTTTGGCCAGGTTTGGATTTGATTTTCTTTAGGAAACCGTTTAATGTAGTCTGGATTGTGGATAGAAAAACTTGACTATCAGCTTCCACGTCTGCATAGGACAAGAGATCATTCCAGTTAATTCCCTTAATTGCATTTTCAAAATAGCTTAATTCACTCTTAGGTATTCTTAGTTGATCAGGCTTTCTAACAGTAGAGAGGTTAAACCTGCTCTTAGACAGCTTTCTGGCTATAAGTGTCAGATTATGATCAGATAGCCCAGTAACCATATTGAATGATTTAGTCACTCTCTCTGGTTTATTACTGAACACCAAATCAATCTGTGTTTTAGAGCAACAAGTCACCCTGGTTGGCCCTTTAACTAGCTGTGTAAGGTCAAAGGTATTAGTGATCCGTTTGAGGGTTTTCCTACAACACTTGTCTTCATAATTAATGTTAAAATCTCCCATTAAGATGACCTATGGAAGATGATCTAACCTTTTCTTTTCTGGAATACCAATGATCTACAATAACTATACCCAGATAACATTTACATTTTAGTGATTTAGCAGACGCTCTTATCCAGAGAGACTTATCTTAAGATAGCTAGGTGGGACAACCACATATCTCAGTCATAGTAAGTACATTTTTCCTCAATAAATCAGCAAAGTCAGTGCTAGTAGAGGGGGAAAAGTCAAGTGTGAGTGTTAGTTCACAAAAGGCAAGTTTTTCTTCTCGTTTTGTTTAGGGGGAGGGGAGGGGGGGGGGGGGGTGATGTGGGATTATTTAAGGGTTTAAGATGTTTTGGGAAGATGGGCAGGGACTCTTCTGTCCTACCTTCAGGGGGAAGCTGGTTCCACCATTGGGGTGTCAGGACAGAGAAGAGCTTTGACTGGGCTGAGCGGGAGCTGCTGTCCTGTAGGTGGCAGAACGGAGTACTCGGGTTGGGGTGTAGGGTTTGAGCATAGCCTGAAGGTAGGGAGGGGTAGTTCCTCTTGCGGTTCCGTAGGCAAGGACCATAGTTTTGTAGTGGATGCGAGCTTTGCCTGGAAGCCAGTGGAGTGTGCGGAAGAGCAGGGTGACGTGGGAGAACTTGGGAACGTTGAACACCAGGCGGGCTGCGGCTTTCTGGATAAGTTGCAGGAGTGCCTGGATTAGGACCCCATTCTAGGAAAACCTTATATAATGCCGCACACCTAAATCCTCTATCACAGTTGTTGCAAAGTTCAACTCAGAATTATACTAAGTGTTGGGCAACTGTTATTAGCCTTTACATTGACTCAGTGTTGAGAAACTTGTTTGTGTTTTTAGCCTGTAGGCATTGTGTTGAGCAACTTGTCAATACTGAAAAGCCATAAACCGTTTATCTTATGTCCTCTCAATTCAAATTATTACACTCAATTTGAATATTAAAAGTGTAAATAATAAATGTTGAATAAGCCCTACTGATAACCAATGTTCCCTCTAAGCTACGCGCAGGTGCGTATTTCCCCCGGGACTGTGGCACAGAAGAAATATCAGTACGTGCAGAGAAGCACCAGATTCAACTTCACTGAACTTTCTAGAGTTTTCCCAGTTAGTTAACACTATCAACGTTTTCCTTTACTGTGGGAATTGTGATAGAATCAACACAATATAAGCCACTTTCAATGCAACATACCGAAACAAAACAAACTATGCAAGACTTCGTAGTCAAAGCTAACTATACAAGAGATTTTGTTGTAGGCAGAACGTGTCGAAGTAGAATTCTATTGCATTGACAGGCAGGACTCAGGCACTGCTGTGCCATAACCAATCAGAGCTGCAGTAGGCCTATATGCAAATAGACAATTACCATATATGGATCTGTGCCATTCACTTCGAACTGGACTGTTTGTACTGCATCAGCGGTCGTGAGTAGATGTGCTTGTTTTGAGATCAAAGCTACATGTAGCGACGTATGCACATTTGTTCATATCCTTTGCTAGTTAGTGAGTTATTAGCCCAGTTATAGATTATTTGTAGTCAGCAATGGGGGAGTGATTGCTTCCTACAATAGCACAAAATGTGTGCATTTCTAGACATCTTTGAAAAGCGAGTCAGGGAAAGAGCTTTTTTTTTGTCTGAAAGGGGCAGTGTTGTATTTTGAGACAGGCTTGAATAAGCTAAGTAGCCAATAGGCAGAGGGTAGCATCATTTGTCTGATTCTCTGTAATAATGTTATGGGAATAATGATGCATTTCTTAAATCAAACACCACCATAACATTTTCAGTCACCTCCTTGTCTAAAGGACAAGTGGATAAACAGGTTAATGTTAAGCCCTGCATGTTTTTTTCAAAAGTCTCATTGAATGTAGGCCTACATTGAACACCACACATTGGCTGCTACTGTAGGCTGAATGATAGAACAGCTATTTCCATGTTAAAATGTTATGGGATGCATTTTCTCCATTGTTTTTGATGGTAGGCCACTCTGGTAGGCCTACATTATGATCAAATAGCCACAGTAGCCTACTTGACCACTGTTAAACCTAACTTAGTGGGTACAGCCTCAGTGTTCACAGTAAACGTGTGCCGGAAGTTGCACAGAATTTTCACAACATTCAGGTTTGCGCTCAGCAGAACTGAAATTTGCTCAGTGAAAATTAGAGGGAACATTGCTGATAATGTTACCTTGTAACCCTCAGGTGCTGTCGTGGGTCTTCTTCACGGGGACCCTGTCTTATGTCAAGGTGATGGTGGGTGTCATCCTGAGGGATGAGAGCCACAGCGCCCTGGTGTGGTGTGGAGCAGCGGCACAGACAGGCTCTCTGCTGGGCTCTGCCATCATGTTCCCACTGGTAAATGTCTACAACCTGTTTCAGTCAGGAGACTTCTGTAACACCAAGTGCCCTTTATGATGGCGACCTATTCCTAAGACACTAACATACCCACTGGTAAGTAGCCTTGTCCAAGCCAGAATGGCCCATCTCCTGTTTCTGTACAAGTACACCCCCTGGAAAGGACACTAGTACTTGCTAGAACTTATACCCACTGGGGTGGTGTGTGAATAATGTGGGGATGAACAATGACTGGACACGATTAGAGATTGGACTCTGAACATGCCTTGCTCAATTAATATTTGAATATATTTTTTATAAAGTGTGATTCACAACCCATGCTCAAGGTTTGCACTGATTGTTTTGATTTGAAGTGGATTTAACAGGTGACATCAATAAGGGATCATAGCTTTCACCTGGATTCACCTGGTCAGTCTGTCATGCTTAATGTTTTGTATACTCAGTGTATGTGTGTGTATGTATGTACACTACCGGTCAAAAGTTTGGGAACACCTACTCATTCAAGGGTTTTTCTTTTTCTTTACTATTTTCTACATTGTAGAATAATAGTGAAGACATCAAAACTATGAAATAAAACATATGGAATCATGTAGTAACCAAATAAGTGTTAAAAATAATCAAAATATATTTTATATTTGAGATTCTTCAAATAGCCACCCTTTGCCTTGATGACAGCTTTGCACACTCTTGGCATTCTCTCAACCAGCTTCTTAAAAGTTAATGTTTGGAATTTCTTTCCTTCTTAATGCATTTGAGCCAATCAGTTGTAGGTAGGGGTGGTATACAGAATATAGCCCTATTTGGTAAAAGACCAAGTCCATGTTATGGCAAGAACAGCTCAAATAAGCAAAGAGAAAAGATAGTCCATCATTACTTTAAGAATGAAGGTCAGTCAACACAGAAAATCTCAAGAACTTGGAAAGTTTCTTCATGTGCAGTCACAAAAACCATCAAGCGCTATGATGAAACTGGCTCTCATCAGGACAGCCACAGGAATGGAAGACCCAGAATGACCTCTGCTGCAGAGGATAAGTTCATTAGAGTTACCAGCCTCCGAAATTGCAGCCCAAATAAATGCTTCACAGAGTTCAAGTAACAGACACATCTCAACATCAACTGTTCAGGGGAGACTGTGTAAATCAGGCCTTCATGGTCGAATTGCTGCAAAGAAACCATTACTAAAGGCCACCAATAAGAAGAAGAGACTTGCTTGGGCCAAAAAACATGAGCAATGGACATTAGACCAGTGAAAATGTGTCCTTTGGTCTGGAGTTCAAATTGGAGGTTTTTGGTTCCAACCGCTGTGTCTTTGTGAGAAGCGGTGTGGGTGAATGGATGATCTCCGCATGTGTATTTCCCACCGTAAAGCGGGGAGGTGTTATGGTGTGGGGGTGCTTATAAAGAAAAACCCTGGAATTAATAGGTGTGTCCAAACTTTTGACCGGTACTATATATACAGTGGGGAGAACAAGTATTTGATACACTGCCGATTTTGCAGGTTTTCCTACTTACAAAGCATGTAGAGGTCTGTAATTTTTATCATAGGTACACTTCAACTGTGAGAGCCGGAATTCTTACTGGTTGGTAGGTGATCAAATACTTATGTCATGCACGGAATCTAAAACAAAAATCCAGAAAATCACATTGTATGATTTTTAAGTAATTAATTAGCATTTTATTACATGACATAAGTATTTGATACATCAGAAAAGCAGAACTTAATATTTGGTACAGAAACCTTTGTTTGCAATTACAGAGATCATACGTTTCCTGTAGGTCTTGACCAGGTTTGCACACACTGCAGCAGGGATTTTGGCCCACTCCTCCATACAGACCTTCTCCAGATCCTTCAGGTTTCGGGGCTGTCGCTGGGCAATAAGGAACTTTCAGCTCCCTCCAAAGATTTTCTATTGGGTTCAGGTCTGGAGACTGGCTAGGCCATTCCAGGACCTTGAGATGCTTCTTACGGAGCCACTCCTTAGTTGCCCTGGCTGTGTGTTTCGGGTCGTTGTCATGCTGGAAGACCCAGCCACGACCCATCTTCAATGCTCTTACTGAGGGAAGGAGGTTGTTGGCCAAGATCTCGCGATACATGGCCCCATCCATCCTCCCCTCAATACGGTGCAGTCGTCCTGTCCCCTTTGCAGAAAAGCATCCCCAAAGAATGATGTTTCCACCTCCATACTTCACGGTTGGGATGGTGTTCTTGGGGTTGTACTCATCCTTCTTCTTCCTCCAAACACGGCGAGTGGAGTTTAGACCAAAAAGCTCTATTTTTGTCTCATCAGACCACATGACCTTCTCCCATTCCTCCTCTGGATCATCCAGATGGTCATTGGCAAACTTCAGACGGGCCTGGACATGCGCTGGCTTGAGCAGGGGGACCTTGCGTGCGCTGCAGGATTTTAATCCATGACGACGTAGTGTGTTACTAATGGTTTTCTTTGAGACTGTGGTCCCAGCTCTCTTCAGGTCATTGACCAGGTCCTGCCGTGTAGTTCTGGGCTGATCCCTCACCTTCCTCATGATCATTGATGCCCCACGAGGTGAGATCTTGCATGGAGCCCCAGACCGAGGGTGATTGACCGTCATCTTGAACTTCTTCCATTTTCTAATAATTGCGCCAACAGTTGTTGCCTTCTCACCAAGCTGCTTGCCTATTGTCCTGTAGCCCATCCCAGCCTTGTGCAGGTCTACAATTTTATCCCTGATGTCCTTATACAGCTCTCTGGTCTTGGCCATTGTGGAGAGGTTGGAGTCTGTTTAATTGAGTGTGTGGACAGGTGTCTTTTATACAGGTAACGAGTTCAAACAGGTGCAGTTAATACAGGTAATGAGTGGAGAACAGGAGGGCTTCTTAAAGAAAAACTAATAGGTTTGTGAGAGCCGGAATTCTTACTGGTTGGTAGGTGATCAAATACTTATGTCATGCAATAAAATGCAAATTAATTACTTAAAAATCATACAATGTGATTTTCTGGATTTTTTGTTTTTTTTGTTTTTTTCTCACAGTTGAAGTGTACCTATGATAAAAATTACAGACCTCTACATGCTTTGTAAGTAGGAAAACCTGAAAAATCGGCAGTGTATCAAATACTTGTTCTCCCCACTGTATGTACAGTGGGGGAAAAAAGTATTTAGTCAGCCACCAATTGTGCATGTTCTCCCACTTAAAAAGATGAGAGGCCTGTAATTTTCATCATAGTTACACGTCAACTATGACAGACAAATTGAGAAAAAAAAATCCAGAAAATCACATTGTAGGATTTTTAATGAGTTGATTTGCAAATTATGGTGGAAAATAAGTATTTGGTCACCTACAAACAAGCAAGATTTCTGTAACTTCTTCTTTAAGAGGCTCCTCTGTCCTCCACTCGTTACCTGTATTAATGTCACATGTTTGAACTTGTTATCAGTATAAAAGACACCTGTCCACAACCTCAAACAGTCACACTCCAAACTCCACTATGGCCAAGACCAAAGAGCTGTCAAAGGACACCAGAAACAAAATTGTAGACCTGCACCAGGCTGGGAAGACTGAATCTGCAACAGGTAAGCAGCTTGGTTTGAAGAAATCAACTGTGGGAGCAATTATTAGGAAATGGAAGACATACAAGACCACTGATAATCTCCCTCGATCAAGATCTCATACAAGATCTTACCCCGTGGGGTCAAAATGATCACAAGAACGGTGAGCAAAAATCCCAGAACCACACGGGGGGACCTAGTGAATGACCTGCAGAGAGCTGGGACCAAAGTAACAAAGCCTACCATCAGTAACACACTACGCCGCCAGGGACTCAAATCCTGCAGTGCCAGACGTGTCCCCCTGCTTAAGCCAGTCAGCTAGTCAGTCCGTAAATAATGCAATTTGCCGCCTTGGCTAGACAACAGGTCTTCAGCTTGTCAGGCTAATTGTGTGTTGTTTTGCTGGCTCAATGCCGATTGAGTAAGCAACTCGTTGACCCGTGTGTTTGTGTCCCACTTCCTTCGTTGCACTCAGCTCATTTACAGATGAATAGTTTTGAGTACTCCAGAGGGGTCATGGAGTTATGGATGCTATTCACAGGCAACCAGCACAACATGAGTGTGCAGTGCAGGATCTTGCTGTCACGACTTCCTTCGAAGCTGCCTCCTCTCCTTGTTCGGGCAGGCTTCGGCGTTCGTCGTCACCGGCCTTCTAGCCATTACCGCTCCTCATCTCATCATTCCATTTGTTTTGTCTTGTTTATTACACACACCTGGTTCATATCCCCTCATCAGTACATGTATAAGTGTTCCCTCTGCCCCCTTGTCTTTGTGTGTGATTGTTTATTGTGGAGGTTAGAGATGCTCGGTGGAGCTCCTTGTATTTTGTATCGCCGGGATATTTCCCCGTGTGCCTTGTTGTTTCCAGTGTGCGTCTTCCAGTCCTTTGTGAACGAGGTGTTTCGGGGCATGCTTGGTCGCGGTGTTGTGGTCTACATCGATGACATTCTGATGTATTCCGCTATGCGCGCCAAGCATGTGTCCCTGGATCGCAAAGTGCTGGGCCGACTGTTGGAACATGACCTTTATGCCAAGGCAGAAAAGTGTCTGTTTTTCCAACAGTCCGTCTCCTTCCTCTGATACCGCATTACCACCTCAGGAGTGGAGATGGAGGGAGATCGCATTTCAGCCGTGCGTAATTGGCCGACTCCAACAATGGTAAAGGAGGTGCAGCGCTTTATTGGCTTAGCCAACTACTCTCTGAGGTTTATCCAAGGCTTTGGCAAGGTCGCAGCTCCCATCACCGCTCTGTTAAAGGGTAGGCCATCCAAGCTCCACTGGTCTGCTGAGGCTGACAGGGGGGACCTAGTGAATGACCTGCAGACAGCTGGGACCAAAGTAACAAAGCCTACCATCAGTAACACACTACGCCGCCAGGGACTCAAATCCTGCAGTGCCAGACGTGTCCCCCTGCTTAAGCCAGTACATGTCCAGGCCCGTCTGAAGTTTGCTAGAGTGCATTTGGATGATCCAGAAGAGGATTGGGAGAATGTCATATGGTCAGATGAAACCAGTTGCATCCAAAGAACACC